CTATCCTCTGGTCTTCATTGCGTCGCATGTGATGAAAGAAACATTCGCACCTCCGATGACTTGAGGTCTATAAATTCGCTATTCGTCGTCATTAAGTGGGTACCGGGTGACTGAGACTGTTTGGTGATGTTGAAAAGGCCCTAGGTTTTATCAAGCAGTCGAAGCCTTTCCCACTTGCAGTCGAGGCAAATATCTGTCGTGTTTCAAAAATTCTATTGAAATCAGATGCGACTTCGCTAATCCCGGCTCCGCAGGCCTGCCGATACAGAGACTACAGTCTCTGGACATATATATCATGCTGCCTTGCGAGTATCCTAAATCCTTACGCCCATTCTTGAACAATCCCCCCTTGCTAAGATGTTTCTGCAGACGTTGGCTTGACACCCATTACTCATCCAATAACAACTCTTGACTCTAGACCCTTTGTCATTATTTTCGTGCAATGCTGTGAAAGCCGCGCTGGATGGCTATGTTGCCCGAGCTCACATGCACCAAAAGTGCAGTCCAAGCCCTGAGACGAAGGCGTCCGGATTTTAAGTTAAATGCAATTATAATCCGCAAGTTCAATGAAATCATCACTCGCGCAGCTACATAAAGTTCATTTCCTTCATGTATTACTACCCTTAAGCTCATTTCTGAGCTTTACATAATACGGGGGCGGGGTATACAATTTCAAGACTAACACTCACACGAACAGGTTACAATTCAGCATCTGGCCAGGTCTTGTGTTTTAAGTGCATCACTAAACTCATTAAGAGAAACAATAATATCAGGCAGCTTGTACCACGGTGCGGTCGACAGTTGCAATGGTGTATCGTTTGCGGGGATATATATGTGATGCGCTAGTTTACAGTATTGTTGCTTCGTCGATTGTGAGAAATGATAATAGAATCTGTGTAGCATAAATACATCCGCACAAGTTCGTCGGTGATGTAAAAGGGGAATGTTCAGTTTCTCTTTCATCGCTGAGATGCTGCTTTCTCGTTTGAAGTCATGAAATATAGAGCGCACAAATTTTTTCTGTGCGGATTCAAGTAAATCTCTTAATAACGGCAGCTGATGGGTGTTCACAATAACGAAGCAAATTCCAGCTCTGCTTTGACAAAGGTGCTACAGGCAATAAGATTCGTGTCTTGGGAAGTGAACTTTAAATGGCGTCTGCTGTAAGCTAAAGCGATATTTTTGCTTTTATAACTATCCTTGTCATGTGGGTATCCCAGTTAAGATTTAGGTGTCAAAAGCACGCCAAGGTATTGGAAATGTATGACCGTTTCTTTTACGCCGTTATAGAGCTTGTAACTAGAATTTGAAACTTTCCGTTTTGTTTTAAATAGCATGTATACGCAACGCAACTTTTCGTTGCGTTGATTTTCATTTGCCATTTCGTGGACCATAAAACAAAGTTATCTAGATCTTGTTGTAAGAAGACGCTCTTTGACATTTAAGTAATGCTTAGGTAAATGACACAGTCATCAGCGTAAAGTTTTACATTGGAATTGAAACAATGCAAGATGTTAATTACGCAAAGAACAGAAGCACCTGTTTCTCACCTCTGTGAATAGTGTTGTAGTTCAGCGAGAGCTGTGCGAGTCATGCGATTATTCCAGCTACTATATATAGGCGAGATAAAAATTTCCAACTTGAATTTTAAACGCAGTTTATCGACATTCTAGTGTATAAACCTGGATATATAGCGCACTGCTTCTGGTGCAGTCCTGATATATTGCTGTCGTATTTTTGTGTTTTGTGCATGTATTGTGTTAGCTTAGTATTAGGTGTTTGCTATTCTTATACGTTAGTAAGATACTTTAGTACGCCGGTATTCGTTATTCGTGGCCATGCCCGCGTGACACGACGACCTATGAAATAGTTTCTTCCTGTCACTCGGGTAAAACCGAGTAAGATAAAAAAAATGACGTCTTCAACTTGATTTTGAGATTTATTTTTATGTGATTTCCACGCCTTTTGTTAGGCCCAATAGGAAAAAAAATTCTTAGATATAACTATATGCTGCATTGTGACGTGAACCTACGGCAACACCAAGCAAGAGGCAAGCGTTATGTGGGACTGTCCAAAAGACTAGGACTTTCGGACAGTTCAAAAGTTCTAGTCCAAAGTCCCTGTCATGTCACTGTCCTGGTCCAAAAGTCTGGTACAGGGGCTAGGATTTCCTGTCCAAAGGACAGTGGAGCAGGACGGGAAGAAACATCGGGACTTCTTTTGGATACTCATCTATGATTTGTCGCGTTTTGGTTCGAGTCTCGCACAATTTATATAGACAAAAATAAAAAATTGGGTTGTGTGTGTGTTTATACAGCCTAGAACTTGGTCTGCCTCACAGGGGCGACGAGTCTCCCAGCTGTAGATGAGAAATTCAGCCAGTGCGGTACAACCGCTAGCCTGGGGTCTTTAACGTGCATCACGCAGTAGTGATACACGACCGCACGCCGGTACGATGCTCATCCAGATCGAAACGGGCAGGGGTGGGGCTCGAACCCAGGATCCCTGGGTTCTGCAGCGCGAGCTTTCGCTCCACGTGCTCCGAGCTGGTGTGCGCTAAAGTGCGCGCTAGACCACTCGGCCACCGATCCCCCCTAGACAAACTCTTTACAATACGTAAGCTGTTAATTCTACGATATGATAAACATAAATAAATAGAGGCGTTAATTACACTAAAATGTAGCCGGCTAATGCCTATTTGCTTCTCTTTTCTTCTTTTGATTTTGCATACATACGCCAGTAAATGCAGCACGCACACGCACGCACGCATGCACGCACGCTCACACACACACACACACACATACACACACACACACTCTTCTCGGGAGTCAAGCCCCATCAATATACGAGGCGCGGTTACACACATGCTTAAAAAATATATCTTTAAATTTTTTTTAGGCTTTACAGATATGTTTAAAAAAGCCGTGAAAGCTACACTAATGCGGTTTGTGCAGGTAAGGTATACGGCCAGGTGGGCATTATATCGAAGGTTAATCGTCACGATAAGTCAGTTAATTAACTTATACCCGCAGGAGGTACTATACGTCAGTAGGTGTTTGGTTAGTGGCTTCACCACGGACCCCGAGCAATGCGGGTTCGCCGGCCCCGCCTGCCTGTGCCTGGCCTTCCCGTGTCTGGAGAAAAGGGCATCCTTCTGGTTGAGCCGAGCTCGGTGATGGTTGGGCCCTTCGGGGCCCCCCGGGCGGTGCACTACTCTGCGCATGAACTCTTCTGTAAAAGTCACCATGTTCTGTATTTTCCTTTGGGCCACCTCAAGGCAGAATTGACGGCTCTTGGAACGGCAATACGCAAGTTTGCACATATTTAGTTGTTTTTCTGCATGATATTTAATTGTACGGCCTAAAACCTTTTTTTTTTTTTTTTTTTTGTGCAGAAGTATCTACAGGGCTGTCAATAAGAATTTTTAGTCACCTGCAGCAACGAGATAGTTTGTAACAAAACTACCAAAAATGCAAAACTTCTTACATATTCCTTATTTTTTTTTTATTGCTTCAAGCCAACAATCATGATGCTTTTATGTTGGCTATGATTACTACATAGCAATCCAAATACCGTGTGGATTTTAGGCAAAAATATTCCACCTTTCCATAAATATATCTTAATTACTTCAGCGTCGATTGACGCATTGAGAAGTCCACGCCAGCTAATGCCGCCCGCCGATTAGGCATCGCGTTTCGGAGTGTGAGGAGCCGCCCTCGGATACAAAGGGCACAAAGGGCCTCCTATGGCTTCGCACTGGCAGCAGCTCCGATTATTACACAATGCCCGCCGTTTCTTCCCTTGCAGCTAAAAAGACGGACAAGGGGAAGCGGCAGTAAACTCCGTTCTTTCTTTGGACCTAATCGAGTCAGCTATCGTCGCAGGTGGCGTGCTGTGCGGCGAAGAGGTGTTAACAAGCGACGCCGGGTTGTGGTGCGAGAGTTCAACTTCAAAAATTGTTTCTTGCTTTAAACAAAAATTACTTTGATTAAACTTTCAGAATCAAAAGACAATCAATAGTTTTTCCAAATTGCATTTTTTACTTGGAACACCTCAGGGTGAAATAAACGGCTGTTTAAGGGGTATTCACACGCGCGCATCACGAGATGAAAACGCGAGGCTTTTGCACATCGCAAAGTCTGACGTTTTCGTCGTGGGATGCGCGTGCCGGGGAGAAATCCCCGGGATTTCTCCCTCGTGTGAATAACCCCTTATGTGTCAAAACGCACTTTTTGGCAACTTCAGGATTTTCTTTTTACTGCGAGATATTTAATGGAGAGGTCTAAACATTTTTGTATAGATTATATACCTGCAGGGCAGCGGGAAAAAGTTCTATTAAGCAATTACATATTTTTAATAAAATAACAAAAATGCTAAAATTAAAAAAGAATATATGTTTTAAAAAATATTTAAATTAAACAAAACTGTACAAGCCCAGCCACATTTCAAGTCGAAAGCCGTGCAGATTGAAGAAAAAATATTGTTGGGTGTTTCATAGAAAAGCTGATATTTCATAAATTATAGAGTGAGACCTAGTTTCACACTATTTTTAAAAATTGAAACCGCGCTCACGGCATCGAAAAAAATTTTCTTTTTCGTCAAAAATATTTTAGGGCATGGCTACGGGCAATGCGACAAAAAACATTTTTTTTTTTTTTTTTTTAGAAATCAGATTAGTGTAGAAATTGAAGCTCAATGTTTAAAACCGAAACCAACCTACCAACTAACCTTGGCTGTGTACTAAATCTTACCCAAATGGATCCGAGTTACTCCCGCGGGTCGTGTCGCGTGACAGGACAGATTGAAGATTGCTGGACGCGGGTAGGTTTCGGGACACCAGAAAACAAAACCCTTACTCTGGAGTAAGATCGAGGAAGTTTTGGAACAAGGCCCTAATAGACTAGGTTAGTTGCAGTTAGTTGGTTGGTTGGTTTCGGTTTCAAGCATTGAGCTTGGCAACATTGTTTGATGCGAGGTGCCATCAAAACTAATCCAATCCAATCCGAAGAAGGAGTTGAGCATGGCGTCTGTAAATATGTCGTCTGTCGTATCAGAGCATAAAGATTTACAGGTAATTATGTTTTCACTGGCAGTCACCTAGTGTGCTTTAATGTAATAAGCTAATATGCCCCTAGGGACCTAGGCACTAGTTTAGAATAATCGCAAGCGCATTGCAACTATACAGTCGCAACGTCTGTTTTCGGACAGTGGTCGTCTATCAGTTAGATAGCTTGCAATAAAAACAAGAATAGAACGGAACGAGTTCTTGTGATTTTGTTATTGCCTCGACTACTGCAATTAAAATATCGCACACTTCATTTTAACGAGCATTTTGTGTGGCGTAACAAAACCGGGCGAGACTTTTCGACTGACAACTTTCCAAAGTTTGATGTATCTTCGCTTTTCTATGTAGGCTACCGCGATGGCCCTGGATTCTGAGGGCCAATACGCAGTCTTGGCCGGGTAAGTTTAAGTGAAGTCGACTCTGATGCTCTCGTATGTGTATATGCTTTTTTTTTTTTGTTGTCCTGTTTGTATTTTTCAAAACAATTACATTAGTTTCCTCATAATGTCTTGCTTGCTGAGCCTTGCTTACTTGAACGACTGGGTTGTCAGAATGACGGTAAGCGGCATTGTGGGCCAACTCGTCGCAGACCAGTTCGTCGATGGCCGACTCGTAGGCCAATTTGCCGAAAGGGGAACTTATCGAAAAGGCAACCTCGCGAAGGGTAATTTTTCGAATAGGGGGAAGAAGAGTTTGCGTCGCTTTCCATTTTTCATGCTAAAATTTATTTTATTCCAAAATACACAAATGTGTACAAAGAATGTTGAGCTAACCAACAACTGGTCATGAGAGATATTCCCGGTAGACCACTACCACAAATGTAAAGTGAGAAACCCCATACACACACTCCTCTGGACACTCGTATTACATATTTGTCCTCTCTGCCCTCACACTCCAGGGTTATTAGTGTGAGTAAAGCTATACGCACTCCGGAGTGCACTTCAGACGGAAATGGCTATACGCACTCCGCAGAGAGCTCATGCCATTTGGGTCACCTTTTTCGAACAGCGCGTGCATCACTGGGGAGCTCGTTAACACAGCCCCCCGCCTGCGCTAACGCCGCTTCGCGGGGACAATATTCGGCTGCTAATTACAAAAACTTAACCAGTACACGCCGCTTCGCGGCGTCCAGCCGGCAACCCAAGCCCCGCTGTCCCCGATCGCACCTTTGGAACATATCATTTAGTTCTGCGAAGTTTCGTCGACAATAATTGGTTTTATTAGTGTTCATCGCAAAAAAGAAATGTCGTAAATATCGCCAAATGCCTCGACAAAACAAGATGTTTGAGAAAAAAAAGAAAAAAAAAAGTAGGCCCGCCGTGGATCGAACCTACGTCCACTTGCGTATAAAGCGGACACCTTAACCCCTATACTATGCCATCGCTCAGAAACCTCGTTGTGACCATTTGTTTTATGCGAGTTTAGCGGGGTGCGTATAGCCACCTCCGTCCGAAGTGTGCTCTGGAGTGCGTATAGCTTTACTCTATTAGTTTTGAGAGTTTTAGGTTTACATCTTTTGTCATCATTGGGTTGCTAGCAATTGCTAAAAGGAGCTTGTACTGTTACCTTCAAGCACATACTGAGCATATACTTGTAGTGCTTGCAGTACACAGCACATGTGGAACTAAAATTGTGCAAAATGATAGAGCACTAGTGATCCATTCATCTGAGCTGCCCAATGCTGCACCACACTGTTTTTTCTGATAGAATTTGTTATGTGTGGAGCATTTCACTCTTTAATTAGTGATGTCTCTTGGACACCTCCGTTCCCGCAAATAATTGTCCATACTAGCGAGACAAAAATGCACATATTTTCACAGTTTGTCCCCGGAAATGCTCTCCATATAGCGGGGTATCCATATTAACGAGACGACTGTATACAAATTGCAGCTCATGTGAATTGGTCATAATGCTACGTATTCGTGTTTGGGTACAGCAGCTAAATGCAGTGTTCAAATTAAAATTTAAACCTGTCTTGATCATTCTAATAAACCCGGGGGCACAAAATGTGTTATGCATGAGTTATGCATGCGTTGTGACTTATTATGCTTTGTTACAGGGTGCTTTGACTATAAACCTAGCAAGCACACACTCATGTGCTTTCTGGGTTATCACAATGATCAAGACAAATTTAAATTTGTTAACGAGTGGATTGCATGAGAAGTATGCTCTAATGAGAAGTTTCCATGCGTTCTGCTTCTTTCGAGGGTGCATGTAGCCTTGAGCACTTCTTTCTCTTAGATTGCGAAGAGCTCGTTATGGGGCACCATCACTATGAGCTCGCAGTGGTGGTGGTGGTACCTTGTAAGCACGTGTCGCTGGCGTTGGCAGGCCGTGCCAGCTGTGCCTGATATAGAGTAGTGCGCCGTCCAAGGGTGCTGCGCTCGCTTTGTCTTATAGGGAAGGTGATGTCACTCTTCGCATTATCTGAGATGTGATGTCAGATTGCACGATGTTTCATCTGATGCGTGAGGTGCCTCACGCTGCAGGCGGTGACGTCGGCCATGTCACATGATGCCTTATTGCGAGGGGGAGATTCGTTGTGACCGCTATGCTATCATTGGCTAATGTGCGAAGTCATGACGTCATACGCCCGCTGCGCTATTTGTTGGTTATTATGATCTGCCCCGTGAGATTGTGTGAGGAGCTGCACTTCGTCATTTGGGATTCAGCTGCTTGCATTCCTGTTCACCTCCTCACGACGCCTAGCAAAAGCTCCAGGCAGAATCCAGGGTTTGATTCCCACGGCGCTAACGCAGCTAGTGCAGTATGCCATTTCTTGATATTTACAATTAATTACAATGATTATGTTTAATTATAACTTAGTATGGCTCCTACATGCTTCATGTTCTTATGCATTGCCTACTATGGACTTTGTATGTTTTTTTAAATTAGCTTGGCCTGCATGTTACAGTTTTTCGTAACGCTTTGCACATGAAATCCCACCCTTTAAACACCTTCTGCCTTAAAAAGTGGCAATCAATGACCACTTCGACGAACTGCCCTTCAACGAGTTAACCTATTTGACAAGTCGGGCTTCAACGAGTTGGCTTTCGACGAGTTCACTGAGGCTTGTGGCAGTGTACCATCGGACTACGCTCCTACAGAAAGCTGTCACATGCTTTGCCCCGTTGCTCTAGGTGACTCGTGGAATCCATTGCTTTGTCCCTTCTGGAACTTGTGCTAAAACTGAGTATAGAGAAGGGTGGTCATTGGAAAATATGTTATTTTTTCCACTAAAACAACTCTACTATATTTGGTAAACTGTATACAACACTGCAGAAGGGGCTGGCATAATTGTGTAGATTTACTTAGTGTTTTATTTAGGTTAGATATTGTTTGATTGTAACACTAAATAAAGTTATGTGCTCATATCAGCATGCCTATATCAATACCTTTCACAGTGTTGGATGTGATCTAGGGGTAACCGGTGCCCAAGCGTGTTAACTTAACACAGGTTCGAGCGTATAGACTGAAAACTTGTGCTGTAGCCCAGGGATTATTCCTCGGTTTGTTCCCTGGGTGATTTCAGATGAGATTAAATAGAGGGTGGCGGGTTGACCTTGTTAATTTGCTTCATTATTTAAGATAATATTTTCCCGAAATAAAAAATCGTAGATCACGAAGAAGTGGAAAGTTGGATTTGTGTGAGCAGCCGAGTGTTCACTTTTGGTGATAAATAACAAAAGTTATACTTTTTTTTTTACACAATCTATCCTAAAAGAACACTAACACCCCCCAAAATTTTTATTTTTTGCCAAAGAAATATAAGAAGGAAGTTACCAAAAATCACGTGGCTGTGGAACCTTTTTTTTATTTTTTCAATGGCGTATTTGCAGCTTTTTAGAAGCTACAAAAAATGGGTATAGTATTTTTTGTCTATTTTTGTATTGAGTGTGTGCTTTCAATGACCCACAACTTTGATTATCTTTGGCGATTGTGTCTAAACCATAGAAAACGGCACATGACCACGGAGAAGAGAGTGAGCGCGACTTAAATTGGCCAGTTCTTGATTGGCGGTTTTCAGGCGGAAAGAAAACAAATTTTGAGCCACAAACTGTGTTCTGGGTAGTTTGGCTCTCATATGTCATGTACAAATAAAAACCTTGGTGAGAATAAATACCCTGTCACTATCCCTTTAACGACACCCAAAAAAATCTTGTTATTGTTTATGTTAAAAGCAAATTACCAGAAACATCAATTTTGGCTACTTGATCCTTTCCCTCCCAACTTCACAGGCCTGTATGTTAGAAAATAATTGAGTCATAAACCTGATATTTTGACAGAATATTTTGCTCGTAAATGGAAGTAAATTGATACAAAAATAGAATTAATATATGAATGGGTTTTTGAGATCTTGACAAGCAAACACGAGAAAAGCACGGATTTACTAAAAAGAGCTTCCAAGGACAATTTAAAAAAAAATCTGTTCTCAATTGAGCTTTAAAACAGTCATTCTATTTCATTTGGAGGTTAATACCTATTAAAAACATGTTGCATCTTGTTAATGGTGTAATAGATACAGCTCCTCTACTGAGCCCCTCTTTCGAGGCTTGGCACGTCACAGGGATTGTGACAACTCTTTTTGTGGAAAGAAAACACATTTTCTTTCTTTTTTTTGTTTTCCAAGTGAGGTGAGTAATATAGTTTGTTAAATGGTTTATACTTAATATGAAATTACACATGAAATAGAATAAATCACACACCATATGAAAAACTGTTCTGCATTTTGAGGTTTCAAAATCGACAGATTTTAATGAGTTGAATTCCGTAAACCATGCAAACTTTTTCTGAAAGTGCTTACTTAAAGTTCCTCCCAAGGGGACCCGACTGTTCGTGCTATGTGTAACTCACAGTTCAAAGCTTCCCATGTCTGGCGTAGCCACACGTGCCACGACCGAATACCAGGGAAGGCACGCACTGCCACCCACTCTTATTTTTTCAGTTCACGAAATTCAACAACCTCCACTTTGTCCAGAAGTATGAGATTCACTCCTTTCAGTTTTTGGGAAAGTGCACTCTCCATGCATTTGGCCATCTGAATTGTGTTTCCTGGGAGCTCTCTGAAGTTGTGAAGCACTGGTTGGGGCTCGACGAGTCCTCCAACACCCACGCACATTTTTTTCCATGTTCAGTGGTGGAAAATAACCATTGGGCTTTAGGAAAATTACTTTTTTTACAAATTCATGAAGCTGGAACCGATTTTTAAAGTGACTTGCGGTATTATCACTTACGTAAGTTAAGTAAGAGTATGTATCAACACGGCTTTTGCAAATCATTTTCATGCTAGACACAATTGGTTTTATTTACCCATAAGTTGCAAACTATACTCGATAATCGCTCATTCGCTGACTGTATATATTTAGATTTTGCGAAAGCATTCGATAAGGTCTCTCAC